AAATTCGAAAGTTTGCCATGAAGGAAATGGGGACTCCAGATGTGCGCATTGACACCAGGCTCAATAAAGCCGTCTGGGCCAAGGGAATAAGGAATGTTCCATATCGCATCAGAGTACGTTTGTCCAGAAAACGTAATGAAGATGAGGATTCACCAAACAAGCTCTACACCTTGGTAACTTACGTGCCTGTTACCACATTCAAAAATCTACAGACGGTCAATGTGGATGAGAACTAACCTGATGAATGTCAAATAAAGTTGCAGTACTGCCAAAAAAAAAAAAAAAATTAAACATTTTCTATCTTTTGTCTGCCTGCATGCTGTGGTGTGGCCATCAGAACACAGTTTGCAGTCATCAGTTTTCCTTTTGTGTGGGTCTCAGGGATTGAACTCAGGACCGCAGAAAGCTAGGTGTGGTGTGGAGCTGAGTGCCTGGAATCCCAGCATTCAAGAGGTCAGCTTTGACTACAGAGAGATTTTGTCTCTAGAAGCAAGCAAGAGCCAGACAGTGGTAGTGCACCTCTTTAATCCCAGCGCTGGGGAAGCAGAGGCAGGTGGCCTCTGGGAATTAGAGGCCAGCCAATGCTACGTAGTGAGATTGTCTCAGATAGATAGATAGATAGATAGATAGATAGACAGACAGATAGATAATGGATGGATGGCTAGGTAGATAGATAGATGGATGGACAGACAAATGGATACATGAACAAAACTGACCGGAGATGAGGTTCAGTTGCTAGAGTCCTAGTGTAGCATAAAGTCTTGGGCAAGAGATTCCTGTTGTCTCAGCAACTGGGAGGCTGAAGCAGGCGGATTAGAAGTACAACCCAGCTTCCCCTCCGTATATGTTCAGAGCACGCCCGTTTGGGTCGTATGAGACTCTTGTCTCAAAAGAGTTTGGGAATGGGGTGGAGAAGAAAGGAATGAGGAAGTAGGCTGTAGGATATGGTGGTGCCCACCCCTCACTTCAGCAGTCCACTGGCAGTCTATGCTAGAGTTCAGTACTACCCTAGGCCACCTGAGATAGTGTCCCCTCCCACCCGAAAAAGAACTTGGCTCAAGCTTGCATGGTAGTTCACGTCTGTCAGTTCAGCACTCTGGGGTTGAGACAGGAGGATTGTTGAGTTTCAGGGTCCAGCCTGAACTACACAATGAGTTCTAAACTGACCTGATCTATAGCGTGAGGTTCTGTCTTAAAAAAACTAAATGGGAAGGCTGGAGGGCTGGCTCAGTGGTTAAGAGCGTCTACAGGAGCTGGGCAAACTTCAAGGCGCATGCCTTTAATCCCAGCACTTGGGAGGCAGAGGCAGGCGGATTTCTGAGTTCTAGGCCAGCCTGATCTACAGAGTGAGTCCCAGGACAGCCAAGGCTACATAGAGAAAAACTATAGAAAACAAAACTACAAAGAACATTTACTGTTCTTGTGAAGGACCTAGGTTCAGTTCTCAGAACTCGTGTAACAGCTGACCAACAACCCAACTCCCCATAACAGCAGTTCCTGAGAATGTGACCCCCTCCTCCTTGGGTGTACTTGTGCACACCTCCGATGCACCCAAAGCACCATACATATAAAATAAGAAGATAAACACACCCTCTGCCCCACCCAAAACTCAGAAAGAGGCCCAGTGAGGTGGCTCAGTGGGTGAAAGGTTCCTCCTCCTCCTCCTTCTCTTCTTCTTCTTCTTTTTTTTTTTGAGGGTAAAAGGTTCTTACCACTAAATTTGAGGACCTGAGTTTAATCCCAGGGACTCACTCGGTAGAACAGAATCGATTCTCACAAACTATTTTCTGACCTCCACAGGAGCTCCATGGTGCAGTAATGTATATATGCACAGACAAAGAAATAAAATTGAAGCCGGGCAGTGGTGGTGCACGCCTTTAATCCCAGCACTTGGGAGGCAGAGGCAGGTGGATTTCTGAGTTCGAGGCCAGCCTGGTCTACAGAGTGAGTTCCAGGACAGCAAGGGCTACACAGAGAAACCCTGTCTCGAAAAACCAGAGAAAAAAAAGAAAAAAGAAAAAGGAATAAAATTGAGCTGTAAAGGTATTTTGCCTGTATGTGTCTGTCAGGTGCCTGCAGAAGCCTGAAATGGGAGTTGAATCTCCTGGAAATGGACTTACAGATGGTTGAGAACCATCTTGTGATGCTGGGAACCAAACCATAGTTCTTTGTAATGGCAGTGTTCTTAAATGGTAAACATCTCTCCCTCCAGCTTCTGTCTTGAGCCCTGAGAGAAACTCATTTTATTGCCTCTTCCAGGAATTCAGGGAGGGGTCGGGCGAATGGGCAGGAGGGGGAAGGCAAGAATAATTTAACCAACCAACTAGGAATGCAAACTTCATCCTCTGAACGCGGCTCTACTAATGTCAAAGGCACACCCGATCCAGGCCCTAGACCACCCTTCACCAGGCACCTAGTACCCAGCCAAGCTCCTTGTGATCATTCACCTTCACATCTAGTGGGGGCCGGCCCCATGAAAGCCCCGCCCACAGAGTCAAGTCCCGCCTTCCAGCTCGAGCCCCGCCCAGCAAACCGGCTCCTCCCTCTCGTGGCCACCTCCAGCACATGTACCGCCCTCACAACAACCCACCCAATCCGCTTCCTGATTGCTTTGCTCCGCCCCCATAAACAGCCGGAGTCTTCACTTGCGCATTCGCCTCGCATCACTTCCGGGGCGGTGTTAGGTCAAGCTCACTTCCGCCCGCGGCGGAGCTGCGGTGGTGGCGGTGCAGGAGGCTGGGTCGGGGTCCCCGGGGGACAGACGGACAGACGCACAGGCAGGCGGCCAGGAGCCATGGAGTGCGGCCCCCGGGCCGGCGGGCGCGGGCGGCGGTGAGTGCGGGCGGGCGCGCGCGGGCTGCGGCGGTTTGCGGAGTGGGGCCGAATCGAGCCGGGCCCTGTGTCCGAGTCTTCCCTGCGCTCTCCGGGGATGACTGTGGTACCAGCGCACCCACCCTGTCCTTGGCATCCCCATGTCACCGTGCAGAGATCCTGGAGCAATCGCTGAACCTCCGGGCTCAGCCGCAGACCCAGTCCCTATCCCACACCATCTCCGCTTACATCTGTCTGCTGACATTCGCCAGCTACCTCTGCCCCTCTCCTGGCGTCTTCCTGCCAGCTGGGGCCCACTGCAGGCTTCCCTTATGCAGCCCAGAACTCCTTTATGGTTCCACATCACCCGCAAGATTAAGTCCTCATGCTGCAGCAGAGCCTGAGGGTGCAGCTTGAGCGAGCCCTGTTCCCCCGGGATCCCATGCAGTTTTTCGAATCCTCTCTCACCGCCTGGGTTTACTTCTCCGATCCTCTGTCAGTTAGCTATTTCCTTTTTTCTGGTGTGTGCGCCCACGCAGAGGACAGCTTTCTGAAGTCAGTCCTCTCCTACCATGTGGGTCCCCTGATCCAATTTGGATCTTCAAACTTGGTAGCCTTTATCTGCTGAGCCAGCTCCCTCAACCTGTCTACATTCTTTGAACTCTTCAGCTCCTAGAGGGTTGCCTCCCTCCTATGACTGGCTGGGTGAGGCATGCCAGTGCAGACAGTCATATGTAGGTCATCCTAGAGCCCTTACGGTAGCTTGGTTGCTTGTAACACCAGGGCCTGGTTTTATGTTTGTGATGACAATACTTGGGCTTTGTGGCTGTGAGTGAATAACTGTGGCTTACAGTACCCAGTGGCACCGTCTGTGACATGAGGTCCCACATGCTGGCCTCTCCATAGAACACTGGCAGATCCTGGAGGCTTATGTCTTTAATATCCTTCTTCTACAACTTCATTTTCTCTGACTGCTCTGCACACGGTTGTTGAGTGGAAGTGTAGTTATTGGTCTTCATGGTCCTGCCCTTGTGGACTTTCTTACTGTAGGATGAAGATCTAGTTAACTCTAGAAGTATCTAGAATCATGAGTATGAGCGCTTCTCACCATGTGGAGGACTCAGGTTGTTGGCAGTAGAGACAGCTGCGGGAGGGAAACTGAGGCCTCTCCTTGTTGACTTGTCTAGAAAGCATACTGCAAGTTGAGACCCCAGAAGTCACACCCCTGATAAGCTGTGGCTAGGCATGATGTCTGAGAATAGGAGGAAGGAGGACACCTCTAAAAGGGAGGTCACTCAGTGGGTGTGTGCTGCAGAAGGTGTCAAGGTAGCCAGGGCGAAGACTCTGACACGGGGTGACGGTGGCAAGGAGGCAAGAGTGCAGAGGGGGAAGGTTCAGCTGGCGGTGGCGCTGGTGGATGGAACCAGCAGGCCTAAAGATCTGTGGGAGTGGCCTGGAGGGGAGTGTGAGGGAAGCACCCCCTTTCCTGGCCTTGTTTTACCTTGTCCTCCAGTATGGTCAGGTGTTCTTTCTCACTAGACCATAGATCCTTCCAAGCCTTCTGTTTCTAAGGGGTGCTCTATGAGGAGGCCTTGACTATAAAGCCAGTGTCTCTAAACATTGACCTTGTGGATATTGGGGCAGGGTCATTCCCTGATGTGACTGTTCTGGGCTATGCAGGGTCCTGGACAGATTCTCTGGTCCCCACCTGCTCCATGCCAGGAGTGCTCCCAACTCCATGCTAGGAGTGCTCTGGGTTCCAGGTGTGGCCTGGTGTCTCTTGGAGACAGGTTCACCTACATCTTTGAGAATTGGCACCTGGGAGCTGGGGACTTGTTAAAACTATCTTTGTCCTTACTCTGGCTGTCATAGCTGTTTTCCCAGTGTGTCCCTGAATTGTTATGGACTGGGACATCACCTTCCCTAGTCCCTGGCCTTACTCCTCAGATTCACAGGGATCAGAAGTGTGTGTGGGCCCACAGCTGCCTGAGTGTCATGTGTTTGCCTGTGCCTGTTGTCGATGTCCCTCTGTCCCTGTGGATTTATATGCTGTGACCTAAAGCCCAGGTGTATGTGGCTGTCTTGCTAAAATTGCACTCTGAAGTCTCCTGCCTCCCTCCCAGGTGATGAGAGATGGTGTGGGCTTTCCTGGAAATGTCTCTGTCCATCAGCAGCTCTGCATACAGTGGCAGAAGTGCTGGCGTCACTTACGCATGTTTCGGGGTGTCCTGCAGAAATGGAACATTTGGGTTTCTTTTGGAGTCAGGCCTTGTCTCTCCTGCCTCTGAGGCAGGCCTGGGAGGTTGGGTGACTGAACCCTGAAATTGCAGCTGTGGGAGGCCACAGCTCCCCTGACCCTGGGGAGAGCTTCCCTGACCCCAAGCACAGGGACAAACCATTGTTCCGGCCAGTGGGGCCCTGCATCTGGCATGCATCCTGTCCTTGTTCCCGGTCTTTGTGTCTGTTTCCTCCCTATGGCTCTCTGTCTGTTTTCCAAGGCCCTGTGGCTCACCCCTCCACATCCTCCTGTGTGGGAGTTCTGGGGCTGCCTTTGTTACCTGTTCTGGAGGATAGCTCCTTCAAGGACTGAGGGAGAAACTGGTGGGGCAGGCAGAAGGGTCTGGGCATAGGCCTGGGGGTTGCTGGCATGGCAGAAACTGGGGGGCATACATAGGAGGAGTTCTGCAACAGAGGCTCGGGAGAGACGGCAGGGTGAACTAGGGCTGTGGGCAGGCCAAGATGACCAAGATAGATCGTGAATATGTGGACAAGCCTTCCTGCCTGGCTGGCACAGGCTGGCACCTGGTTCCACCCCTAGCTTCCTGGAGGGAACCCACATGTTGGTGTCCCCCGCAGGGTATCCCACTGTATGGCATGGAGACCTGTTGCTGTGAGGCTCCCGAGGGCTCGCCTTGGACCGCGATGGGGCCGGGCTGCGGCCTCCTAACGGGACTGAGGTGTGCAGCCCGCGAGCTGCCGCTGCCCGCATCTCGGAGCACCCCCGCCCCTCCCCTGGCCCGGCGCGGGCCCGGCGCCCGCCATGAACGGCCTGTCGGTGAGCGAGCTCTGCTGCCTGTTCTGCTGCCCACCCTGCCCGGGCCGCATCGCCGCCAAGCTCGCCTTCCTGCCTCCCGAGCCCACCTACTCTCTGGTACCTGAACCCGAGCCGGGACCCGGCGGGGCCGGCGCTGCCCCCTCGGGTCCCCTGCGGACCTCAGCGGCCACCCCTGGGCGCTGGAAGATCCACCTGACGGAGCGCGCTGACTTCCAGTACGGCCAGCGCGAGCTGGACACCATCGAGGTCTTCGTGACCAAGAGCGCACGCGCCAACCGCATCGCCTGCATGTACGTGCGCTGTGTACCAGGTGCCAGGTGAGCTGCCCCCTCCCAGGGCTCACACAGCAGGGGTGCGTGGGTACTGTACTGCCCTGCCTTCTAGCCCGCCTGACCCCTCTTGTAAAGCACAAGAGACCCCGCTTTCAGGTTCTTGCTTTCAGGTCTCCATCAGAGGGTGAAGAGGAGAGGCAACAGCTTTCCCAGGTCTGGCCTGGAGTCCTAAGGGCGAGCCTTTACTTAGGAATCAGGCAGGTGCTTAAGGAAGCCACCTGGGCAGAGGCAGGCAGGCTCATGGCCTTGACCAGGCACAGGCCTTTGCTTTGTTACAGGTCTGTCGGGGTTGGCCAAAGGCCAACTTGGAACAGGATGGATCTCAAGAGTTTGCTGGTGGCCAGGGATGGGGCCTAGTCTTTCCCCTAGCAACAGAGCACTGGAAGCAGCAGGCTCTTCTCATGCACAGTTCTGTATCATGGGACATGAGATGAACCTGGGCCTCCTGGCCTGGACTTGTGTCTGCTGAAGACTGAACTCACAGCGGGTCCTTCTGTAAATGGGGTCTGAGGCCTGCTGGTTGAGCACAGCCAGGCCTAAGGCTGTAGGAGTAAGCAGCCTCAGGTCCCATCCCCAGCTAGGCCCTGCTGTGCTGTGGGAGGCTGGCAGTGGAGCTCACCATGGCTGAGACAGTGGGTGCTTCTGGCTCAGTGTGGGTGGTGAGCTGTGCCCTGTCACCTGCACACCCAGGTACACAGTCCTCTTCTCGCACGGCAATGCAGTGGACCTGGGTCAGATGTGCAGCTTCTACGTCGGCCTGGGCACACGCATCGGCTGCAATATCTTCTCCTACGACTACTCTGGGTATGGGGTCAGCTCCGGCCGGCCCTCGGAGAAGAACCTGTATGCCGACATTGATGCTGCCTGGCAGGCCCTGCGCACCAGGTGAGGCCTCTGGCTCTTGGGGTGGTGGTGTGAGGGGGTGTCAGAGCAGGTGGCACCTTGGTCCTTGCTGTCCACAGGAAAAGGGAAGTTGTACCTGGTCTGACAGTGGACACAGGACTAGCAGGTCTAAGGAGATAACCGTTGGAGGACTTGGAGCAGGCAGTTAGTAGCCCAAGGGCCAGGACTCTGTGGCATCAGCTGAACTTGCTCTGGAGCAGGTGGCAGCAGGGCTGGGAAGCTGTATTAGAGGGGCCCAAGTGATGGCTGGCAGCCGGGCAGCCTGTCAGTCTGACTTCCTGCTCACCCCCCTCCCGCTACCTCACGAGGGCTCCTTTTGCTCTTTCATAGAGCAGGGCCCATGCAGGGGGGCAAGACCATCCACCTATACTTCTGGAGGCCTCTACCCTTGATTAGGGCCCCATGTGGTGCTGGAACTCTTGACAGCCCTGGGGAGTTGGGGACCCTAGTTGCCCCGGAGATGTGCCAGGTATCACTGGGCTGAGTCCCCTGGCACTATTGGTGCTGGCACCGGGGACTTGTCTGAGTGCCCCTCCCCCGTGCCAAGGAGCCTGTACCTTGCCTGGGATGGTTTCCCCTTCCTCACACTGTCCGGCAGCCTGGAGAGCAACTGCTGTGTGTTCTGAGCTCTGTCCACACTCCTCCTACAGCACTGACTGCGGAGGTGGGGGCGGCTTTTCTGAAGGGGCCGCCCCTGTGGGCGGAGCTTAGTCTTGAGCTCTGGATAGCAGGCAGAGTTGGTCCATCTTGGTCAGCACACAGGTGTAGTGTGGGTTGCCCCTTGGTGGTCCACCTCCTGCCTGGGCTGGAGGGAGGGTCCTGTGGAGGCTTGTCTGAGATAGACAGTGGGAGCTATGGCAGGGCAGCACTAGGCAGCTCAGCCAGGTGAGTGGCCACATGGATCTGCTGGGCTAGGAACCTCAGGAGCTGAGTTAGGAGTGAATTGGCTGCCACATCTGCCTGTGTTGTGCAAGCTTCTAATTGGGCAGGAAGGACTCTGGGGACCTTAAACTGGGCCGAGCATCGTGGGACACAGTTTCCTAAATTCCCAGAGACCCACACTGCTGGGGAAGCAGCACTGGGAAGAGACAGCCCGCCTCCTCTCGGGGTCAGAAGGGAACAGGAACTTTTGGTCGGGAACCTTAGGTCGGAAGTCGGCCTCAATCAGGCACTATCACCCTTTCCCCTACCCCGTGGGAGGGACTGAGTTGCCCATCTCCAGGCCCGGTGGCTGACTCTGCTCCTGCTGTCGGTCAGGTACGGCATCAGCCCAGACAGTATCATCCTGTATGGCCAGAGCATTGGCACTGTGCCCACAGTGGATCTGGCGTCACGCTACGAGTGTGCTGCTGTGGTCCTGCACTCTCCTCTCACCTCTGGCATGCGGGTGGCCTTCCCTGACACCAAGAAGACCTACTGCTTCGATGCTTTCCCTAAGTGAGCATAGGGGTGGGGCCCGGGAAAGGGCGGGACCTGAGAAAGGGCGGAGCTCCAGCCTGACCATCTTTTCCCTCAGCATCGAGAAGGTGTCGAAGATCACATCACCGGTGCTCATCATCCACGGCACAGAGGACGAGGTGATCGACTTCTCACACGGGCTGGCACTGTATGAGCGCTGCCCAAAGGCCGTGGAGCCGCTGTGGGTGGAGGGCGCTGGGCACAACGACATTGAGCTGTACAGTCAATACCTGGAGCGCCTACGCCGCTTCATCTCCCAGGAGCTGCCCAGCCAACGCCCTTAGCCAAGCCGTAGGGACCTCAGCAGTACACGGGCCTCCTGCCGGGGCTGCATGTGACCCGGAGCCCAGGACCCTGCCTGGCACCCCAGGGGCCATGAGCCATGTGCCGGCAACAGAGGCCCCTCTTCTTTCCTCGTGGAAGCAAAGAGAAGGAAAGAGGGGAGTTAATTAAAGGATTGAGATTTTTGGGTTGCCTTGGCTCCTTCGTGGCTCCAGTGAGGCTTCTTAGGGCTGGGGGGGTTGCTTAGACAGCCGGGTATTGGGGTGTGACGGAAAACCTCGGGGCATGCGGCCCAGGACTGCAGGGCAGTGCCCTGCTCTGCAGGAGTCCTGATCCCTGTTGCCTACAGGGCTCCCACTCCAGGACCAGGCCTTGCACTGTGCCACTGTGAGCTGAGGAGGTCTCCCCGGGACTGCAGGGATAGCTAGGGTAGTGTGCTCACTCTGGAGTTGAGCCATGTGTTTCCTCTAGCCATAGGGTCCGATGTGTGGGGAGATGAGCACCCTGAGCTGACTCAGGATGCATCAAGGTCACTTTAACAGTGGGTGGTACATTGGGGGAGCTGGAATACTTTCGGGTGTGGCTATAGCCCCTGAAGAAGATCAAACGTGACATATTTAGTCACTTTAAAATTTTATTTTATGTACATTGTTGATTTGAGTGCATGTGTGTCTGTGCTATGTGGTGCTGGGAACTGAACCTAGGTCCCCTGGAAGGGAGAGCAGCCAGTGCTTTCAATCATTGAGCCATCTCTCTAGCCCCCTAAAATTTGTGGTTTTGACTTCAAGCACTAGTTAGTGCTAAAGCTGGCTCCCGAGCCGCGGTTCACCAAATTGGGGCATTCTTAACCTGGAGCGTACTCTTCTCTAGCCGCAGGGCCTTTGCACAGGGTGCTCAGGTGCCCTTACTAGATCCCTGCCTGTAGTCCCACTGCCTGGCTTGGCTCTTTCACCACCTGCTGCAGGTTTCCCGATCCCCAACACCCCGCTGACTCATCCTGATCGCTGCCCGCTGCTCCCACACATCCCCCTGAAATGCCACTGTCCAGGGCTGAGTCTCCACTGTGACCTTGGTGTACACAGGCCCAGAATGCACCCAGGAAGGAGAGGCAAGCCCCATTCTGAGCCACTCATCCTACATTAGTAGAGGAGGGTACCAATACTTAGGATGCCCTCAGGTGTGCGGGGTGGGGGTATGGTACGGGCCAGGACAACTCATGATAAAATAGCAAGACTGAATACTGAGAAGAAAAGATGTGCTCTTCTGACCTCCTAACCCTCTCCCCAAGCCCAGCTGTTGCTGACCAGAAAGTCTGGTTTCCTGGGTGCCGGGGATGCAGCCCGGGGCTCCCTGCACAGGAGGGAGGGCACTGCTGCTTGCTGTGCTGCAGCCGAGGCCGCTGTTTACTCTAAGACAGGGTCTTGCTCTATAATTGGTTCTGATCTTGAACTTGGCTGAATGATGCCACACTTGGGGCCGCTGGGGTGGAACTTGGGGCGCAGTGAATGGGAGGACTCCACCCACTCATCCACAGCCTGTATTTTTTATTTTTTGAGACAAAGTAGCCCAGTCCTCAAACTTCACCACTGCTGGCAGGACAGCCATGAGACAGCATGTGAGCTACAGCAAGTTAAACACAAAGTAAACCGGCGAGGCCAGCCAGAGCTCCACAGAGAAACCCTGTCTCGAAAAATAACAACACATTTATTTGGTCAAGACACACGCACCACTGCATTTCTGCAGAGGTCAGAGGTCAAGTGTCGGTTGTCTGTTCTCTGGGTGGGGGGGTTGAATTCAGGTTATCAGGCCTGGAGGCAAGTGTCTACTCACTGAGCCATCTGTCTGGCCCTACTCTAGCAAGCTTTTTAAATGCTTCCATTGTGTGTTGTAATAGCCGTCTCTGTCACTAGTATCATTTTAAAATTGGACGGATGTACATTTGTTATAAAGATGAATGTTAAAAAAAAAAGATGAATGTTTAAATCATCTATTTCACAGCCTTTTTCTACCTAGTAGTTTTTGTTGTTTGCTAACGTACCTCATATATTAAGGAAATCGGAGGTTGGAGAGATGGCCACCAGTCACTTGCTGCTCTTGGCAGAGGACTCAGCTGAGTTCCCAGCACCCACATGAAGCAGCTCATAACTGCCTGTCACTCCAGCTCCAGGGGATCCAATGCCTCTGGCCTCTGAAGGCTCCTGCACACAGGCACACACACACACTTGCCCACACATGCACATGCACACACATGCACACACATGCACACACAGATACATAAAAACAGTAAGAAAATCACCCTTTTGTCTGCCCACAGTGTCCCACTCTACTTAGGTTTTAGTGCATGAATGTTTGGCCTCTAGCCAGGACTGTGTACAGGAAGGCAAGGGAAGGGTCTCGGGTCCCCTGGACGTCAGCTGCCCCACATGGGTGAGTACTGGGAACTGAACTTGGATCCTCCGCAAGAGTAGCCACTACCCTTAGCTATGACAGACACTTTTTTTTTTTTGGTTTTTCGAGACAGGGTTTCTCTGTGCAGCCCTGGCTGTCCTGGAACTCACTCTGTAGACCAGGCTGGCCTCGAACTCAGAAATCCGCCTGCCTCTGCCTCCCAAGTGCTGGGATAAAAGGTGTGCGCCACCACTGCCCGGCTCTGATTGTTTTCTGAAGCAAAGATTCTCCTTACAGGCCACTCTGGCTTTGAATTCACATCAATCTCCCTGCTTCTGCCTTTGGAGTACAGAAATTAAAGGCATGTGCCATCATGCCTTGGCAACTTTGTGTCGTGGTCAGTTGGTTTGTTTGTTTATTGGTTTTTAAACGCAGGGTTTCTCTGTAGTTCTGGCTATCTTGAAACACTCTTGTAGACCAGGTTGGCCTTTAACTCACAGAGATCCTCCTGCCTCTGCCTCCTGAGCTCTGGGAGTAAAAGCATGGGCCGCCAACACCACCTGGCCACAGGTTAAACTTCTGTTTTTTTTCCTTTTTCCACCAGAACTGGCAGGTTAAACCTTTTTTTAAGAGACTTTATTTTATGTGTGTACTGAGTGAGGAGGTGGGGGTGTGGTCAGGGATGGAGCCCCGCCCAGGATCCCCAGTGAGGGTCTATAAAAGCAAACAACAAATGACTGGCACATGCCTTTAACTCTGCACTTGGGAGGCAGAGGCAGGCAGATCTCTGAGTTTGAGGCTAGCCTGGTCCACAGAGTGAGTACCAGGACAGCTGGGGCTAAGCAGAGTAACCCTGTGTCAAAACAAACAAAAAAACCCAAAATAATCCCCCTTTTCTCCCCCAAAAAAATACCTCAAGAAGAAATGAATGCAGGTCTCTCATGTACAGACTAAACTTCGAGTGACACCATCGCCATCAATCCAGGATGAGATGGAGGAACCACCCTGTGGCTCCTGCTGTGATGCTCAGAGACCGAGTGCTTGCAGTCTCCACATCACAGCTCAGTCACACTTGCAAGGTGGCCTCTGAGCCTCGGTCAGCAGAACCCAGGCCCCTGTGATGCGGGCGTAGCTGTGTGTGGTCTCTGCCTGCCCACTTCCCACTAGCGGGTGTGGTGGAGGTAGGGGTGGGGTTGTCACCCCAGCTCCTAGGTTGTCTGTCACTTTCTGTCCTACAGTTGCTCCTCAAGAGTCTCCCCAGGCTCCTTTTCACACACAGCCCCTTCATCAGAGGCCATTGTCCACTCCAGGAAGCACCCCTCCCCCACTGCTTGGCGTGACTGGCCAGGCTGCTCTCCCTGAGAGTCTTTCATGCCCTACTTCAGTGGTTTCTTTGTCCAATTCATGGCCACAAGGTCCTGGGGTCACCTCATGTCCCCACATCTGACTTAACCTCTAGCCAAGGGACCTAGTAGCCCAGGGATGTCACAACAGCCAGAGACTCGAGGGGCAGGATCAGGCTTGCCACAGGCACACCTGTCTCAACAGGGACACAGCTTCTCATGGGCTCTGCACCGTTTTGTGTTCTCTGAATGGGTACAGATGCTGTCTTAGGCCTCTTCTGATCATCTCTTCTCCATGGCTGGGAGGACTTTCCTGTCTCGAGAGCTCTAGTGTGGGCACCAGCTGGACCAGCTGAGGCTAACAAAGGCAAGGGAGTAGTGATTGCTCCAGAGCCCACTGTGTCCTGGTCCTGGAGCAGGTCTCTATGGCACAGCCTTACCCTGGAAACATACAGTGGGGACCAGGAGAAGCAATGCTGGGGACGCCCACTGATTGACTCAGACTTGTCCTTTTTTCTCTTTCTTTTTTTGTTTTGTTTTGTTTTTTGAGACAGGGTTTTTCTGTGTAGCCCTGGCTATCCTGGAACTCACTCTGTAGACCAGGCTGGCCTCGAACTCTCGAACTCAGAAATCCGCCTGCCTCTGCCTCCCAAGTGCTGGGATTAAAGGCGTGCGCCACCACCGCCTGGCTTTCTTTTTCAAGATATGCTTTTCCTGTGTAGCCCTGGCTGTCTTGGAACTCACTCTAGACCAGGCTGGCCCCTTGCCTCTACCTCCCAAGTGCTGAAATTAAAAGCATTTGCCATCACTGTCCTGCTCTGGAACTTTCTATATAGCCAAGAATAATCTTGGTCTCCTGATGTTCCTGCCTCCACTTCAGAGTGCTAGGAATAAAGGTGTGGGGTACATGCCCAGATAATCAAAAGTAAAAACAGAAAACATGGTCCCATGTAGTCTGGTCCAGCCTTCTGCTTGTGTCGGATGCTGCCCAGATACAAGCTAAATCTTAGGTCACTTTCCCCAAGAAAGGCAGCCCTGGTGCCTGGCTGGCCTGTGGAGTACTGGTGTCAGCCTTCCTCAGCCACATGGGTCTGTAGTCTCTGTCTCCCCCGACCCAAGTCTCCGTGGCTGTCCCCAGGGGATAGGTAAAAACAGGCACACTGTAAGTCTCTGGGATGTGATAGGCCTCTGGCATCTCTGACTTCTCTGACCTAGGTGCTGGCCAGCTGCTTTCTTAGGCCCCCTGCACCTTAGCCCCATCCCTCAGTTAGGAACCCAGAGCTCTCAGCAGGGTCCCCACGCCTTTGCAGGACTGGTGTGGTGGTCACACCTTTAATCCCAGCACTCAGGAGGTAGAGGCAGGTGAATCTCTGTGAGTTCGAGGCCAGCCTGGTCCACAGAGTAAATTCTAGGACAGCCAGAGCTGCATTAAAAAGACCTGAAATTCATGTAGACCTGTCCCCCCGACACCCCTAGATTCTGTCTGAAAATTAAAACAAAAAACAAAACAGAACTTATCCATGGGACTAGCAAGGATAAGTGCTTGAGCCCCAGGAACACTATCACAGAGAGAATGGCTTGCTAGTTTCTCTTTGTTGGAATAGGCTGGGTATTTTCCCCAGAATCCTCAGCAGGGTTCCAGCCTCGACTGTACTATCTGTAAGGTAGGGCGACTGTTTCTTAGGTCCATCCTGAGTCAGGTCAGCAACAGGCTCCACATCATGTCAGGCTGGCCTGAGTGTGGCTGGGACTTGGGGAATGAGGGTAATACATCAACTGTATGTATATCAGCCCCCACCAGGGGGCTGCTACGTGCCACCGCTGCCTTAGCTCACAGATGGCCCTCACAGGCTTAAGTCCTTAGTAGACAGATGAGCTCCAGGGATGGCTGGGGCACGCTAAGTGGCACCACCTGGTGGTTGTACAACCAACCCTGCTTACCACTATAGGGCTGTTAGTAGGCGGGGCATCATGAGCCAATTCATCCTGACTGCAGTTCTCAAAAGAGAACTGCACATGGCACCTCTCTTCAGGTGTATGGGTGGCGAGAGGGAGGGCAACAGATCCCTTCAGAAAGCCACAGAAGCTGGGCCAGGACCACATGGTTCTGGTTGTTGGAGGGCAAGCAATGGGAAGAAGGGTGGGTGTGTCCTCCTTAACAACGGGGAGTTGTGTAACCTGTCCATTTCTGTCCAGCCAGATTGGTTCAGAGGTCCCCAGAGTACCCAATCTCTGCTGTTGAGGGACACGGTGTATAGTTGAGGGACACAAAGTATAGTGAGGAAACATGGCCAACGCGACAGCAGAGAGCTTGGGGTGCAGGTAGGAAAGGTGGAGATGACACCCAGAGTAGGGACCTCTGCCTCCGTTTAGCCTCCTGTGGGGATTGATTATTCCCCACATGATGGAGCTGGGGCCAACCGACTGCCGTCGGCGGGGGTGCTTCGCCCCCTGGAGGCTGTGGGGGCCACTGCAAGGCCTCTGCAACCCGGCGGGAGTTAGGAAGGGGCGGGAGCCTGCTCTCCTACTTCCGCGCAACAGGCGCCTACGGCCTGGGGCTTTTAGGGAACCGTCATTTCACAATTGGCGAATTATCCGTGGAAGTTTCCAATCGCTCCATTAGTCAGCCTCAGTTTCCCTGCCCCAGTCTCAAGGGCCCAGCTGGGGAAGGGAAGAAATGGCCAGAATTCCGGTGTCCCTAGCTTCGCCTAGATGACCGAGCCAGACCTTTTTATTGCAACTCTGCTCACTTTTGCCATACCGGTTATCCACAGGTCTAGTGATTCCCGAATCCCCGCGCGCAAAGCCGAACTCTACAGACTCGATCAGCCAGGCAGGGTAGTGGCTACCCTACGTTTTCTAATTCCACCTCCGGGATATTTTGTCCCCAAGCCAAGAATGGGGAGTCAGCACTGGTGGGTTATTGCTCCGCTCCAGGGCGAGGAAGGAGGGGGAGGGTCGCGCACGTGGCCCGGGGGCGGGGCAGCGCGCTTCCGCACCCCCACCCTGGCCACGTGCGGATCGCAACCCCCCGCCGCCCCCTCCACACACACCGGGGACAGGGACGCGTCCTAGTGCCTGAATGTGTGTGTGGATGGGGAGGGACAAGTTGGAGAGGGGAGGGTTCCTGGCGACTGCGCACCCGGCACAGCACGGTGGGCGCGCCGGGAAGGGGATAGAGCGCGCACCCGGAGGAGGCGTGGCGCGTTCTGGGGTAGAAGGCGGGGCATCCGAGGCTGGGGTGGGGTGTGT